CGAGAATTGGAGAGTGTAATTACACCTCTCCAATTACACTCAATTCCATGTTAACCAAGTAATTACTTGGCCAAACAAATATGTCAAACTGTATAATTACACCCAATTACACCCAATTCTAATTCCGAAGTGACTTTCCAAACAGGCTCTTAGTGAAATGTTTGGTGTATAAAAGATTTTTAATAAATAAAGTGTGTAATAGAATTATCACAAGTTAAGAATGGATTATATTAAGCTGGTATGATATAATATATTATTAGTGTATTAAAATAGATAAAACAACACTCCACCATATTTTATACCATAAATCCTCCAACCAAACGAGTTCTTATATTTTTGCTATACATTGACAAAATATCATCAATGCAAGTCCCAAAAATGATTGTTTCTAAAGTGAACTTTAAACATATTGTTTACCCTCAAAATCGGATAACAATTAAATTTGTAAGTGATTTTAAGGATACACAGATTAATTTGATACAAAACGATAAATTGGATTAAAACAAACAAATAGAAATACAGTAAATTCAAACCACGCGGGAAAGATGTCTTCAGCCTTAGTGAACTATTTGCCTTCGATCCGGGCTCACAATAGTCAATATTGATGAATGAAAGAAAAGTCTAGAATAACAGTGAAATTAATAGTATATTATTTTGGAATGTGTGTTATAACGTGCTTAATGAATTATCAGACCTCCATTTATATAGTAGGGAAATCCTACTCTAAGTATAACTCTATAAAAGGTAAAAAAAATCTTTAGTTTAATTGATTGCCGGTTCTACATCGATATGTGCCGAGATCCACGCCGTGATATTCAGCTGGTCACGGATATCACGGCCTCTTGTTGGCCGTGCTTGATTGCCCAGCGACGCTCTCCAAAGTCCTCCAGGTTATAGGTCGATCTCGAATCATGACCCCGATATTATCGAGGGTCGATGGTTGGCCCCCCGTACTTTGACTCGATGATATCCTTTCTTCGATTCCGATCTTTGGCAATCATATCTCGAGCTCGTTTAACCTTGTTAGAGGCCAAGAGTGTATCATGAGTCCGATTTTTATTCGTACACAGATACTCCCATCGTTTCTCGGAAAGTAAGCTGATGAGAAACGACATGAGCGTCCTGATTCCTTCGTAGATACACCGCGACTTAAACGATAAAAAATTCGAAATGTCTCGTCAGTCATGTCATATATCATAATGGCATTAAATTCATGTCAACCGTCGGTCGGTTGTCCCTGCAGGCGAAGCATCACAACACCACTATAAATAACCTATCTTTTGTTCATTTTTTACTTTACATTAAACCGTTTACCCTCGTACCCTCAGGATTTCACTACTCTCTTTCAAATTCTAGCATTTTTACCTCCGGTATTCGATATTCCTTTGAAATCCTTACTCAACATCCACTCAATCCAGCACTTCTCAGTCTCCAGTTTTCAACCCTTTTCCATCTTCTTTAAGCTTTCTCTTAGAACAATGGCAAAAACCTCAAAATCTGTCCCCCAAAAGGTTACTTCTATCTCCCAAACGATTGTCGGAACCAATGAGACTACTTCTGAAGTGGTCGGCCTCGGGAGATCAGCTGTTAATTGGCCATCGACGAACCGGCTCCCGAACCTCCCTTGAAGATGTTCATTCCCGGAGTCTTTTCGATTACTGATGACTTAAAGGTAGAGAAACCCTCCTCGGTGCAGGGTCGGTGCGTGGAGGCATTGAGGTATATTTGCTCGATCACCGAAGACGATCTCAACTTAGTCCGAAAGGATTGTAACTAGGCTAAAAAGTACGTAGTGGTCCCCGACCCTGAGGAGGCCATTACTACTCAAGTTGAGGGATACCTAATTGTCTACACTTATCCCTTTACGATGGGCCCGGTGGATCCGGTCATCATAAACTTCTGCAAGAGGTATGAGGTATGTCTCGGCCAAATTCACCCTTCACTATGGAGGATCGTGATCCTCCTCTGATTTTTTATAAATAAAATTGATTCGTGCACTTTCACCATCGATCATATGCTCTATTTATACGGTCCCCGAATTTTCCAAGGGGGACTGATAAAGCTTGTTCGTCGGGCCAGCAAAGTCCCATTTTCAAGCATCGACGAAGATCGGGATCACTCGTGCGTCCTAGAGACCAGCCCGAGGAGGACGACATCTTCATAGCCCATGTGCCATATGTCCCCGAGAAACGGGTGGCAGTCGAGGGGGAAATGATTGAAGTTGATCCCCCTCAAGTTTGCGAGGCTTATGCCGAGGTAAGGGCCGGGGATTTGCGAGATGCCGGTCCTTCCCCGCCCGACGTTATAGATACTTCGGGATCGCCTTCGTTCATGGAATCAATGTTTGATGAAGCCCAAATGACGAAGGAGCGATCCTATGAGAAGGCCCATGGAGCGGATGATCCCCTCCAAGGCTTTTTGACGGTATAGACTAATCCGTCCCGGGGGATTTTACCAGGTTGGGTGATTTAGAGGTACCAAGGAAAAGTCAACCTTTGGAGGCTAGTAGGTCGAGCTCGAGCCCGAAATTAACCAACCGGCTCCCTGCTCCAAGCATAGATCCTGGTCGAAAGCGGACCATCGTTATCACCATTCTGGAGGATGCTCGGATCCTTTCCATCCCCGTAGGGATAGCCAGTTACCTCCGGTGTTTGGTGACCGAAGACGACCAAGCCAAAATAAACAAGGTAGAGGCGATATGCCTTTTCAATAAAGCACAACATGCATTGAATCAGGTAATTCTTGATAATTTTTGATAATTCTTGATGATTCTAATATCTTTTATGATATTTGAACTAATTTTTGACAATTCTAATATCTTTTTTTCGTATACGCAGGCCTCAGTGCTTCACCACGAAACCTTCCTCCGGTATCGGGATGAGTTGAGCCAGCTCGAGGCCGAAGTGAAAGAGCTTGTTGAGAAAAGAGGTATGTATATTGTATAGGCTTCTCATCGAGCAACGTGAAGGAGAAGTCAAGAGCTTCTAAGCCGAGTTGGACGTGGATCGGAAGGAAGCCGACCTGTTGGAACAGGTAAAAATTTTTGAAGTTAGTGATGATGAGCTAGACACAGTGTCTAACGGTTAGAATCCTCCGGCAGAAGATTGATTTGGTTGACTAGCTCCGGGCTGAGATGGATGAAGTCAAGGCCATGGCCGAGGAGTGAAAAGGAAAAATGGACCGATTGGATTCGGAAAAGAAGATTGCACGAGAGCAGTTGGCCTCGGCGGAGCCCAACTTCGATCGGCGAAGGAGAAGATTAAGATCCGGTCCCGAGAAATCGAAAACCTTCAGTCTTAACTTGGCTCAGTCATTGCCACCCGGTATACCCTTGTCAAGGAGCTCGAAGCAACCACGTCATAGGCGGAAATGACTAGGGCTGGCACTAAAGAGATGGTGGCCCAGTACAAAGTAGATGCTGAGGCAGCTCAGGAACACCTAAATGTCATAGTCGAATATATGAAGTGGCAGTCCCGGAGGGAGGCTCTCGAGAAGGTTCATGCCCGGGGGGTTCGATTTATCGGCTGAGCTTGAAAAGCTTAAGAGGCTCGAGGCTGAGGCCAAGAAGCTGGTGTACCCCGAGGATGAGGAAGATTTCAAGGGTTCGGGCAGATCCGAGGATGGGGAAGGCCCCGATGGCCCCGGTGATGAGGCGGGCTCCGGCGAAGATCAGGCTTCTTAGGTGCCTTGTAGATTTAATTTTTGGACTTTTGTATTTCATTGAGGTTGTTTGGCCTTTGTAAATATTTATGTATATATATATAAGGCTTTTTTCCTTCGGTA